ATATGTACATCTTTGATTTTCTGGAGGCACTGTAGTGAGGAGTTGATAGAATATTCACTCTGAAAGAAAGCGTCATTCTTTCATTTGTGGTGGTCATGCAATAAAGCTATATGCTTTTGGTGTAATTTCTGGGGGGAGGTAAGTACCATTACTAAACAAATAACTGAATGCTCCCCAGAGGTAGGCTTACTGCATTTATTAACAGGACCAAACCTCAAGCTTAAAAATAAGGAATTTATTATCTATTTAATTTTAGCAGCTAAAATAATAATTGCCCAACATTGGATAACTCTAGATAACGTAACAACTGAGATGTGGATTAACAAGGTCTCTTCAACTGCCACATTAGAAAAAAATCACAGAGTTAAATAATGAGACATAAGAGGCAGGAACCACAATTCTATCAAATATGGATGGATTTTATGGTTTACCTCAATAGCAATAGACCATGGTAATACTTTACATATATGGTAAATTTGTACATGTATTGTACTTGCATCTTTACCTATTTTTTAGTAGATTTTTTTGTATTTTCTATATCTTTTTCTCTCTCTGCATCTTGGATTTATGTTAATTTAGTTAGCTGATAATGTTAGTCATACTTCAGTAAAAACAATGAAAAAAAATCTTGGGGGGGAATGGTGTTAATCCACATTTAGATCAGATTGTCAGCTCCTGGTGGATGTCTTCTCTTGGCAAGCAGTCACACTTAATCCTACTATCTTCCGGTCCTTTACATACGCTTAGCATTCCCAAGGGCTGCTGGTAGTCATCTTCCAGGGCACGTTCCCTCTGACATCTTTGGGAGTGCTGCAGTCTGCATCTGTTGTTTTCTGTGCTAATCCTAGGGCTCATTTCCTTGGTTTCTAGGTTGACAGATTAATTGGCCTGCTTTTCTTTTAAGGAAGATGGTGTGTCCTGTTGGACTCTGACCCTCCAAAATTTTTATAAACATGTCAAATCCATACTAAAATAGTATAAACCCATATTTTATGCATGTAGAAGTACACGATTTTAGCAACTGATTTATTTTTCCCAAATGAAAGATGAAGACAAAAGATATAATGTTGAAATAATGAAATATCAGGAACTTGGAAGAACCTCCAGACTCTAGAGGAACTGAGGGGAAAGATTGAAATGGCCTTATTCCCACTCAAATTATGAAGAGCTTAAGTGAAATTCAGAAGCTCCCCCATTGGTCTTCACTTTACTCAAATAACTCCATCCTTGAAGCCTTTCAAGGAGCTCTCCATAAAAAAGGCCAGGTCCCCTTTGCCACCTCCTGGAATTTTATCTTGAAATATCAGATATTGCCTGAGCAAACAAAGCCTGCTGAAGTTGGCAACCTGATTGATCTCTTCAGCCAGGCAAGCTGTTGCAAGGACTGAAGCTTCTTGGAATGCTGGGTGCAATTCTTCTCTCCCTAATGGATTTTGCCTGTAAAAAAACAGAAGAAGCAAGAAAATATCAGAAGGGCATGAGTGGCAAATTGTGTTGTCTGGACTCCCTGTAAAATTCCACGAATGAAGCAAGGTGATGGCATAGTTTATGCTTTGTCCAGAGGCAAATAAGGGATAGGTAGGATTGAGGGAGTATTTGTGTATTAAAATCATGTTCCCCCATCATTTTTTAAGAGGGCCACCATGCAAGGTAGATGGGCTGCCTGTAATTTTTGCACCAAATTAGAGCATTTAGCTATAGGTATGTGATCACTCTACACATGCAATTGATGTCACCACAGGTTTTTGATTTTCTTTTTGGAGAGAGAAGATCCTTTATGGAAAAGGACCTGGCTTAGGAGATCAAAGTGGCATAATTCCCAATTGATGGAACTAATAAGTGGCTGATGAGGGTCACTTTAATTATACTAAATTTATTTGAGAAGTGATGCCCTGATCCAGATTCCATTTTGCCTTGCTTCTTCTGGCTCTGAACAGAATCCAGAGCAGAGTGCCCGCAGAACATGGATAGATAGTACTCAAAGCCTGAAGGTGGTACCAGAGTATCTCATAGATTGCTATAAAATTGTAGTATGTAGTATAGCTAAAGGAGAAAATTATTAAATACATTGAATCAATGTAATTGTAGTGAAGTTTACATTTCATTTAGCTTAAATCAAATTCAGTTTTTGTCTTGTTTGAGGTACTGCACTGAGAGGTCAAGCACAGTCCTCAGCAACCCAAGGCTGTGCTCCCTGATGTACTTTATCATATCAGATACTGTTTATGTTTATATATGTATGTGAAATCATGCAAACTTCCTTCAACAAACTGTGAAAAGTTTCTCTTGTGAGATGTTACTTTTTTTGAAGTCCTTTTTATAACATGCTTGTTATATTTCTGATTATTTAGAATCCAACATAAAAAGGTTACGGCGTTTGGCCTGTTAGGAAAACATAATGAATCGCCTGCTTGAAAAGTTCTTCATTTTTCTCCTGCTTGGTGCACTGCTTGGATTATTTTTTTCCATTTATTGGAACACGGAAATAACAGGTAAGACACTGGATCATGAATTAACTAGATTTCAGAATGTGGGCTCAATCACATTTAATTCCCACTAAAGTAGATACCAAAAAAAAAAGTAGCAAGACAACTATGATAGATGAATGGAACTATGTAAACTCTGCACTGATAGAATAAGGAAATAAGACTAAGAATAAAAGAGAAGGGGTGGGAAACAGATGTGTTGAAATCAATGACAGGAAGGGTACAGGAACAATGAGCTGAACTATGTCTTGTAGTAAGGGACAAACACAGGTTAATACATGATAGACCACAGAATGTACTGTTGATTCTGCTAACTCTTGGTGTGGTTTTGAATAGCAAATTATGTAAAAACCAAACAAGCTCTATTCTACAGACATCACTGTTGGTTTTACAGACTTCACAAACAGAAGTGTTAAGCAAGCCACATGCTTCCTTACATTTGCAATGACCAATAGGCTTGCCATCCTCTCAGTTTTAAACATGAAAACTCTTCTCACTGAAATGTACACATATGCCCTTAATCTTTCACCTTAGCTTCTTTTTAAAAATCAATATTAAAGACTAACATAAATGACTAGACAACAGGAAAAAAAGAAAATGACAAAAGACATAGTGGATAGAAAATAAAGCAACAGTAAATAAACAGAATTTACAATTGTCATAAGATTTAAAAATCATTATTTCATTATTTCAGTGATTCAGTGCTTAACTGAACCTAATCATGATATCATTTTGAGAAATAATTGCAAATCATTGCAAAACTCTAAATGTTAATATTTACATTAATGTCACCATTATTTGTGATTATCTAAAATAAATGCACATGATCTTAAGAACGAAAAGAAAAGAAAAAAGGGGAAAAAAACCCTTAAGGTTGTTTTTTATTCTTCTGGCAATCTGCAAAAATGTCAGTGATGATAAATGTTGGCCTTTGCCAAATAATTCTTGCTGTGTCTTTAGACATAGGTTACTAAATGATCAGATTATTGGCAGGACTCTCTCTGTTTCTGACGAGCCCATGAGATCTGAGAGGGTGGGCATGGTCTGGGCCCTGTCTATTAAACAGTGCCAGGAAGCATGCCTTCTCTGCTGCAGCACCTGCCCCCTGAGAGATGTGGGCCCCCAATCCTGCTAGCATTGTGTACATCTCATGGACATCTCATGCGTGGGATCTGGAATTAGGTGGAAGCCTCATCGTGACTTTGGGCTTTTTATGATTTGAATTAGGTTTGTCCTTGGCCACCATTATTTGATTATTAATTGGCTTTGATTTTGTTTGCTTTAAATTCTATGTGCACTGCCCACAGCTGCAATTATGAGCTGCAATAATAAATACATAATTTTTATTCATTCAAATTAATGAGTGTACTACAAGGTAACATTTACCTTTTTAGCAGCTGCATCACACCATTGGCTCATACTGAACATGTGGTCAACAAGGACATCCAGATCCTTTTCATATGTACTACGGGTAGTTCTTGACTTATGACCACAATTGGGAGAAGAACTTCCGTCACTAAGCAATGTGATTGCTAAGTGAGTCACGCCCGATTTTATGATCTTTTTTCCCACAGCTGTTAAGTGAATCACACAATTGTTAAGTGAATCACATGGTCGTTAATTTAAACTGGCTTCTCCCATTGACTTTGCTTGTCAGAAGCCCTGGGAAGGTCACAAAAATGTGATCACATGACCTTGGGACTCTGCAACCATTGTAAATACATACCAGTTGCCAAGTGCACAAATTTTTATCATGTGACCACGGGGACACTGCAGCAGTTGTAAGTGCAAGGACTGGTCGTAAGTCACTTTTTTCAGTGTTGTCGCAACTTTGAACGGTCCTTAAATGAATGGTTGTAAGTCGATGACTACCTGTACTGCTAAACCAGATTTTTCCTCCCCTACACTTGTGCCTTACATTTCCCATCCAGATGCAGAACTTTACATGTCCTCCTGTTAAAAGATGGAAATCTTATTCATTTGAACCCACAGGTCCAGCCTTTCTAGATCTTTCTGAAATTTCTCATATTCCTCCAGAGCATTAGCTGCCCCCCCCCAAGCTTTATAACATCTGCAAACTTTTAAAGTATCAACTCAGCTCTCTCATTCAAGTCATTGATAAAAATGTGGAATAGCACAGGGTCCAAGGCACAGCCCTATAGCACTCTACTCAATATTTCCTGTGTAAGGTGGGGGGACTTGAAAACCAAAGAGCCACGTAAGCGTGTGAGGAAGTGAAGCTGGGATTGCTGTCTGCACTTGGGAAAAGCAGCTGCAGCAAGGCAGAAATGCTTCCCACTCTACTTCCCCAAGACTTAGCACAGCTCATGCTGTTTCCCAAAGGCTAGAAACCTGAGAGATGGGCTCATGCATTCATACATTCATTCACTCCCAAGTTTACTTAGAAACATCCACGCAGGCGTTCCAGCTGCCTGGCTAATTGAGCCACACGCTGGCATTTTCAAGGACCTGCCGATGTCCAGAAGCAGCCTCACCCTACCCAGGCCCTTAGCTTACAAAACAACCACTAAGACAGACCGTGTGTGGGTATGTAGGAGAAAAGGAGATAAGAAAACAGCAAGCAGATGGGGAAACGGGAGGCAATATTTGGAGATTGATAACTATTACAGGCAGGCAAGAGGACTATCAGTCAACTGCCAGTTCCACAAACTATGGTAAGCAGCATATCCTGGTGGGATTCCTGCCAGGAGGTCAGCTCTCAAGCTGAGCTGGAGTGCTCAAAAAACAATACTGCTTAAGAGCAGTGCTTGGAGCTTGGCAGCAACCAGAAAAGGAGCAACCACACTGAGCAATACCTCATCCCAACTAGTGCAAGAACCTTTGGAAGGAGGCAAAAGTTCTATGCTACTTTACAGACTTTGAGACTTTTGTTTGGATTGAGTATTAAAGGATTGAATATTAAAGACATATTTGTGTGGCAATATCAACTTGCAAGGCCTAGAAGGGTGGAGTTAACCCAGAACAATAGCCTGCTGTTGGAGAAGGTGTGTACTGAAATAAAGCATTGTGTACAGATCTGCTACGCTGTGGTGTGTCTAGTCCTTGGAAAGCAAAGAACCCTCATAAAATGGAATGACTAGAGAGACCCCAAGATTTCATCTCTATCTCAAAGGAAGAAGTGGTTAATTAATCCCATGGCAATTAGTTCCCACAACACAGTTGACCAGGAGTAATTAAAATATTGCTGAACTATAATTCACCAAATTCCCATCCAAAGATGACATACAGGATTGCAGATCTGAATTTTTTTAAGCTGTTACTTTTAAAAAAATGTCTCAACAAGGTTTGAATTTTTCTTCCAGATCATGAAGAAGATTGGTTGAAAACGCAAAAGGACCGTAAAGACAGCTTGCATTCCATCTGCCAGAACAAGAATTTCTCGAGTTCAGAAAAAAAGCTAGATGAATATGTGGCTAGACAGCTCTTTGTGGATGAGAACTACAAATTCATCTATTGTGAGGTGCCAAAGGTAGGCTGTTCTATCTGGAAGAAAATTGTTTTGCTCCTCACACTCAACCTGAGCAGGGACGTCTTTGAAGTAAACCAAGATGAGATTCATAAAACAAATCTTCTAAAGCGGTTGAGTTCTTATCCATCCAAACAACAACAAGAACTTTTGAACTCCTTCACTAAAGTGATGATTACCAGACATCCTCTAGAAAGACTGGTCTCTGCTTACAGAGACAAGTTCTTGCACCTTGAACCTTACTATAGCATCACAGTGGCCAATGAGATCAAAGCCTTGTTTAGGAAGAACAAAAACCTTACGGGGAATGTAACTTTCCAAGAGTTTGTAAACTTTGTTGTGACACGCGATACGAAGCATTTGGATATACATTGGAAGCCAATGTTCCAGTTGTGTGATCCCTGCAACATTCACTATGACATTCTGGGAAAGTATGAGACACTGGATCAGGATGTCAGTCATGTTCTCAGCAGAATCAAAGCTCCACAGAGGGTCCGTTATCCAAACAGTAAGCTCTATACGGAAAGGACAAACAAGGACATCACCACCCAGTATCTAAAAAAACTGAACTGGGACCAAATACAGAAAATCACGGATGTTTATCAGATGGATTTCTCTTTGTTTAATTATTCTTTTACTGTTCGAATGGAAATGTCATTTTAGAGGTTAGTCATACCTCTGTTTTCTGGATTCCTACTTTTGGGAGTAAGGCAAGGATTTGCTAGAAAAAATACATTTCCTTAGGTGGCAATCTGTTCATGAATTGCCTCCTTAAAGATGTTTACTTGGTACCTTCGCTGATTTCATTGAGATGTCAAACATTTTATTTTATTATTCTGTAAATTCTGTAAATTTGATTTTACTGATAACTTGTTTTATTTCAGCACAGTTTCTTTTGAATGTATTCATAAATATAATTTAATTTTGATGTAAGCTTTCTTGAAAACTTTCTTGGTGGAAATGGAGAAAGAGAATTTTAAAACTGCAGTCAACAGAATCTTATTTCACATACTCACTTTAAACCACACAAGTAATTTAAAAACTGCAGTTATGCAATATAATGAGAATTGAAAAGCTTTGTGGAAATCTTGCAACAATTTGTATAATTACTGTTTCTTCCATGAATGAACTTGGTGTATCTTTATAATGAGACTCTGATTTCACACAAATCCAAATCATATTTATAACAACAGTTATATTTCCTTTCTTCTTAAAATGATTTTTTAAAATCTATTCTGCTAGAAAAACCAACTCTCTCTATTCATTCTGTACCAATGTTGGCTGACAGAGGCATGATTGTTTTTGTTATTAAGATTTCCTACATATGATTTCCAGATTTCCAAACCACCAGGTTCACTATATTATATTGTGTTTTTATTTTGCTTCCTGTTGATATTGTGAGCCACCCAGAGTTGTTTTACATTTAGGCATCACGTGATGCCTAAATGTAATACATAAATAAACCATCATTTTGGTAATCATTGTTTGTTGAATAAACCATATTTTGCTGTTTATTTACACATCACACTATACACTATGCTATACTACAAATCAAAGCGTCTGGGTCTATCCATTGCACTAAGTAACAAAGAAGCAAACCGCATCACAATTTAATGAGTTGCATGAACCTTGACACTGAGCACTTGAAATTTGTTTCCAGTTTATGACTTGCAGATTGTATGTGACCAGCATGCAAGAACACATTGCTTTCACAAGCATTCACTGGACTCTATCTCTGTATATATTTGATGTTTCGTTTTCACATTTTTGTTATCGGAATATTAATTTTGTGTTTCTGAAAAATAAACCCACCTTGAAATGTGTCTTGGCATATTGAGTGGACTTTGGCATGGAAGTCCGCATTTAGGGTATGATGGTTGGAGCTATATTTAATATCACATTAAGTATATTTCTCTTTGCTCTTCTCCCTTCTCATCTACCACATGTCCCCCTGAACTTCCACAATGGACTCTCCAACTTTCAGGAGCAGTTTTGGAGGACACATCTGAGGCTGCAAGGGGAGGGGAATTTATTCTACTAGTAATATCAACTGAAAATGGAATCACACCTTTGATAATTATACCCATATCCATATCTATGTAGCAAGCTTGCCATGAATCTTTCCAAACTGGATTTGGATGTTTCTTCCCTCTTAGACAATGTTCCCTCTGAGATATGTCTGTTACCCATCAAACCCAAGCACGTGGTAAAAAGTCAACTGCATGCAAAATTAAGTCCTTCCAAAATAATACATATTTCAGGTGCCATAACACTCTGGGCTTACAAAGAGTCCTGCACAAGCTTGCCGCCTCAGCTTAATTGCAGCAGTGAGAGTTGCTCTGCATTGCTGTGGGGCAGCCTGAGCGGGAGCTCCTGGGGAAGGTGCCTTTGGCCCAGGACAGCAGACAGGCGGCCCTTTCTCAACCTGGTGGTTGCAGCTGACCTGCTCTGGATCAAGCCCAGCCAGAGACACACTGAGCGCCACCCCAGGGCCTCCTGAGCATGAAAGTTTAATATCTGTTGAGTTTTGGGCTATACAAGGTCCATGATCATTGTTAACTTTATATAAAAATCAATGTTTCAATTAATAACTAACATTTAAATAAATTCAGAATATACCCAGAGAAGGGAAGAATGGGAGGGGGAGGATTGAAAGAGAAGGGGCTATCTAAATGCTTTTTGTATACTTTTGTATACTTTTCTTCTTTTCTTTTCAATAGCACCACCAAATGGTAGCATTTGATTTTTGCAGGACTGATGACAGGGAAATGTGAGCAACCTATTTGTTTCCGTTTTGCAAGGCTGTTTACTTACCATCTCTTTTTCCCTTCTGTAGCCTGAAGCATCTGGACGGAACGTTGCAAAACAGGCTGGTCAGCAAAGGAGTGAGACAAGGTTGCGTACTCTCTTCTTATTTATTCAACTTATTTGCTGAATATATATTGAGAGAAGCTGGATTGGAAGAATATGAGCACCGTTTTAAAACTGGAGGAAGAAACATCAATAACCTTTGCCATGCTGAGCCATACCCTGATAGCTGAATATGCAAGCAATCTGCAAGTTCTAGTAATGAAAATCAAGGAGCACAATGAAAAAAGGGAACTAAGATTAGGCATAAAGGAGGCCAAACTGATGACAATAGGTACAGCAACCAGCCTTAGAATTGATAATGAAGCTTTTGCCTTTTAGGATTGACTATCAAAAGTAAAGGAACCAGCAGTCAAGAAATATGCCATAAACTACTACTTGGTAGGATAGCAATGAAGGGCTTTGAAAAGATATTCAGATGCTATGACGTGCCTATACTTAAAAAGATCAAAACTGTATAGTATTCCCCATGACACCCTTTGGAAGTGGAAGCTGGACTCTTAAGAAGTAGAATGGTTGGATGTTTTTGAATATGGGTGTTGGAAAAGCCTCCTGAGAATACCATGGATAGCTAAACAAACAGACAAATATACCACCTAACAAATCAACCCAGAGATTTCATTTGAGGCCCAAATGAGCAGGCTCAAATCATCATACGTTGTTATATAAAGGCCCAACTCCCCCGAGAAGTCCATAATGCTGGGAAAGGTGTAAGGAAGAAGAAAAAGAGAACGATCAGCAACACAGTGGATGGACTTGCTTATCGCAGTGATGGGTGATCTCGGAAGACCCGAAGGGGAGGCTGAGGACAGATCGTCCTGGAGAAGGTCTGTCTATGGAGTGTCTAAGAATCAACGCTGACTGGCACATAATCAGTCAATCAGTTTCGAAGCAGCTTTTTGTTAAAGGCAATTGGTTGGGTTCACACCACACCTGAACCACAAGCTATGATTCATAAGCACCATTGGCTGGGCTCACACAGTAGAACCACATGTTGCTAAAAACACTGCATGGATTTGTTCAGGCATTTGCCAGCTGTTGTGTGACTTGAAGGCATCTTTCTCTCTGTCTCCCTGTTTCCCCAGCATAATTTGCATTTAGCACACTCCCAAGCAATCCCTATAGCCAGATCAGAGCAGGAACACACACCACTCAGTTCAGCTGGCAAAAAAGATAGCTTGATGTTTATTAAACATCAGCAAACATCAAAAATTGTTAACTGGCAAGCAGGATACAGGCAGGCAACAGCAGGAAGAGAAACATAAACAGCCAAGAATTTCCATTATCTATATCTCTATATCAAAGGACACAGAACTTTTCAGAGTCCCTGAAAAGAATACAGTGGGCTAATTAGCACAGACAGTCTCAACCTTTGGTTATTCCAGCTTTAACCTTTTAATGTACATAATAGCAGCAGGACAGAGAAGAAAAGCAGAGCATCAGGTGACCTCTCCCCTGTCCTGCATCATAAAGGAGACAATTTGGTGGACGGTGATGATGTATCCACCCTGGGCCTGCCTGTCCACTTTCAGTCACTGGCCCCACACTTTACAAAATGACACACTGGTCATTTTGGCTTGGACTGCAGGAGAGTCCAGAATCCTGGCTTTCACAGATGCATCTGCCTGTGTAATGCTTGACTGCCCATCGTGTAGGCTCCATCGATGCATAGATTTAGCACTCTTCCAGAAGACTGTTTAGACCTTTTAAACCCATGTTTAGTGATCTTTTGAAAGAGTGTTAGATTTATCTTTTAAAAAATTGACTGGTAATCTAGACCAGAGGTGTCACACACACACGGCCCACGGGCCACTTGCAGCCCACAACACTCCCAAGTGCGACCCAAACCAGCTTAAAATGGAATTGGGTAATGATTAAGAAAATAAAATTACAACAAAACATATATATTACATTTTAAAACTAAGCAATACATTTAGTCGCCAATCAGCAAAACTCTGGGCTCACAACTCATGAGGACTCCTGCAGAAGCTCACTGCCTGAGCTTAACTGCAGCAGCAAAGATTGCCTGGTGCTGCCCCAGCACAGGCTGAGCAGGAGCACCACGTGCAGGAGTTCCCTCTCAGTCTGCGCTGCTGCAGTGACGCTCAGGCAGCAAGCTTGTGCCTCTTCCCCAGGCAGCAGGCAGGCAGGCAGCCTTGCGCTAGTAGCCGACCGGCTCCAGACCTCAGAGCCTCCAGTGCATGAAGGACCACCTCTCCCCAAACCGGTTGAATTAATTTCTTTCCTCCCTTCAAAAAAGGTTGAATTTCCCTCCTCCCTCCAGAAGAGTTTGAATTTACCTCCTCCCTCCAAAACGTAATGAATTCATTTCTCTCCTCTCTCCAAAGGAGGTTTAATTCATTCCTTTCCTCCCTCCAAAAAAGGTTTAATGGATATCTGGTGAGTTTTGGGCTGCACAAGGTCCATGATCATTGTTAACTTTATAAACATTTCAATTTTAAAATTAATAGTAAAGTTTAAATAAATTCAGAATACATCCAGAGAAGAAGGAAAGAATGGGGAAAAATGAAAGAGAGGGGCAATTCAAATGCTTTTTTAAAAATGCTTTTCTTTTTTTATTTGTTTTAATTTTCTGCTGTACCGTACATC